TGTTCATCACAAAGTGTCACTCACTTTTGGGGAGGGGAGGATGGGACTGGCCTAGGAGAGCAAGGGTCCAACACCAGGATGCCTGAACAACAGCTCCTGGCAGAGGGAGACGTAGTAGGGCTTGAGCCGGCTTTCCTGGCTTGTCCAGGGTGGAGTGTGGTTTTGGTTGGTTTGGTGGCGGCAGCAGAATCCTTAGGAGAACTGAGGAAGGGAAGCTGGGGTGGGGATGTGGCTTCTCATCTCCCCGCTCCCTTTAACTGCTGTCACCTCTGCCTGACCCATTTCTAGATGCAATTCCACTGCACCCTAGATTCCCTCCCAGCTTTTCTCTCTCTATCTCTTTTTTTTTTGCCTGTGCCACATGGATTGTGGGATCTTAGTTCCCCGACCAGGGATGGAACCCTGGCCCTCGCAGTGAGGGCTGAGTCCTAATCACTGGACAGCCAGGGAGGTCCCCCCGGCTCTTCTCTTAAGTGGCTTCAGTCAGGCACTTGAGAGTTAACTGAACACAATTATATTTTTAAAACTGAGGACTGAGGGACTTCCCTGGCTGTGAGCGCTGATCAACAGTCACAACCATGGCTGTACTACTGAAGACGTACTACATGTCACGTGATTTGTGGACGTTAATCCTCACAACAACCCCTGTGGGGTTATTACTATTCTTATCTCCATGTAACAGATGAGGAGACTGAGGTTCAAGGCATGGTAAGCAACTTCTCCAAAATCTCTTTTGGACAGAGCTGGGACTCTGACCTCTGTCCCTCTCATTCTGAGGCCACACTCTCACCTTCTGCTCTTTGCTGTCTTTCAAAATTTTACTGGTCAGGAATTGATCACAGACCCCCAACAGGGTCGCAAGAATTGCACCACTGAAGCAGAGCTGCTGTCAGGCCTTGGGAACTGAGACTACATCTCATCCATCTTGGCATCCTGAGAACAGAGCATGATTCTGCTCTGTTTGATGGTGATGGAACGTGGAGGATATTCCTCCAGAATCTAGCACGTAGCGTGGCACCTGGCACATAGCAGGAATGCAAACAAAATGTATTACATGAGTGGAAAACATTTTAATTTGATATCACTGCCTTCTGACAAACTTTTTTCCCAAGGTATTGTCATTTTCATTTTACAGATGAAGAAACCTTAACAAACACAAGTAATCTGATTTTGGCGATCTTTTACATGGAAGTTATTTTGGTGAGCCTCTGGGGACAGAAAGCCATATTTGATTTTACCATTGGCTGTATGTAAACACAACAATATTTTGTATGGTGCCACTGTGGCTGTGGTTTTTGGGAAAAAATGAGGTCTGGGATTTTCCATCCCCAGAAAGTGGGTGCTGAGGAGTTCTCTAGTATAGTTTCTTTTTCTAGTTTCATACCAGACTGTTAGACAAAAAGGAATCCCCCTGTTCCACCTTACCTGTGAAATTAGTCCAGATCTCATGGTAAGCCTCACTTCCTCTGGGAAGCCTTCGCTGATCACCCCCAGCATGGGTTGGGTCCCCATAGGACCTGTCTCCCCCACTATCACCTTGGCAATGCGATTGCCTGCTGATTCACTTGCATCCCCCCCCAGATAGACCTCCCACCCCCACCCAGGGATATATCTCGTCCCACTGGATCTCCAGCCCCTAGCACCATGCCTGGCACACAGTAGGTGCTCAATATATGTTTGTTGAATGAATGAAGGCTCTGCCTTCTCCCAAATCTCCTCTATTCAAGAGTTGTTGTGTCACAGGGGCTGCTGGTCTGATGGCCCTTTCTGAATATGCTTGTCCTAGGCCCCAGACTCTGCTGGTCACTGCCTCCAGCCGATGACAGGAAAACACATCAAGACTGTGTCTGCCCCCTCCATCCTTTCCTGTCCCCAGAGGCGCATGTGCCCATAGTATGTTGGAGTCAGCAACCCATTTGCCCTTTCTGCTTAGCCAATCAGAACAATAATAACCATATCTGTTGACTGCTTATGAAAATGCCAATGCTCTACATCAATTATTTGTAATCTTCATAACACTTCCACAAAGGGAATATTATTACTCCTATAGATAAGGAAACTGAGACTCAAAGAGAGCTCAACAATTTGCTGAGGCCACACAGCAAAGATGTATTGAATGAAGGAAGGAATGAACAAACAAGTGTCTTACTGATTCTGGTGCTTTGCTGTTTTTCTCTTTTGTTCCCCATAAACACTGGGGATAGCTTGATGGAGCAAAAGGACCCAATTGGCTTTGGGGATTCCTGAGCCAAGAGAGCAGGGAATAGGGAGGAGGTGACCCCAGTAGAGAACAGCTCCAAGCAACCCCGAGTTACTCAGTAACCCAAACCCTGGTCCCCGTGGACAGCCTGGCAAGGCTGGGCCAGGGCAAGCAGTGGACACCAGTTCCCCTTGGCCACCCTCAAGTGCCCAGCTGGTCACAGCTGGAAACTGGAGATGGAAGGTCAAAGATTGGGCAGACCCCAGGCCGGGCAGGATGGGAGCTGGTGACAGAGTTTGGGCCCTGAGAGGAGGTCAGGGGTGGAGGAAGGGGTGAGAGGTGAAGCCCCACCATTCCATCAGAGTTTTCAGGGCCAGAGAAGGCAGGAGGAAGGGCCAGGGGCCCTGACAGCACTTGGCAATCCAAAAGAAAACCATGGACTGAGATTCTCCATAGTGGGTGGTGGGCCAGGGGAGCCCTCACAGGTGTAGGCCTGCCAGGAGAGCCCTCAGAAGGGGCGGGTGGGCCAGGGGGACCCTCAAAAGGGGAGGACTGTCAGGGTTTTGCTCTCTGTTGGACCAGGGGTGATACCAGATGGTACCCATTAGTTGTTAAAATACCAAGATCCAGGGCTTCCCTGGTGGCGCAGTGGTTGAGAGTCCGCCTGCTGATGCAGGGGACACGGGTTCGTGCCCCGGTCCGGGAAGATCCCACATGCCGCGGAGCGGCTGGGCCTGTGAGCCATGGCCGCTGAGCCTGCGCATCCGGAGCCTGTGCTCCGCAACAGGAGAGGCCACAACACTGAGAGGCCCGCGTACCGCAAAAAAACAAAACAAAACAAGATCCTCCTATAAAGATGGTATTTAGCAGTTCTCCAAGTATGCCCTCAAGAGGTTGGCCCAGCTATCCTGGCCCTTCCAGGAGGCTCCCTCTAGACCTCCCACAATCCAACAAATAAAGGGTTGACACCTGCCAGGTCTGGAGGCATCCAGGACCCAACCATGTTACACGTGTGGCTAGAACCTCAGGTCACAGCCCCAGGACCTGGCTTAGGGTTGACGCTAAGTGAATATTCGTTGAATGAATGAATGAGCAACAGAGGAGAGGGAAAATCAAAGATTCAGAGGAATTCAGAGGGACTAAGAGAGACGACAGGTGAATAGAGATGGAGGAGGCCGGCATCAGGGTGGAGGCTCCCAGAAGATGCTGGGAAGGCCCAGCTCACTCCTTTCTCTCTCGCGTTCTGCTGCTTTTGAAGACTCTTCCCCTTAAGGGCCTGTCCAGTCCGTGCCTATGCAACCCAGGGCAACCCCTGCTCCCAAACAGGGCTCAGGAAGCAGGCTGAACCTTTGGGGCAGAAGGCTGGACCTGGGAGGATACCCCAGATGCTGAATTATCTGAGAATCATTATCCAAAGGCTGCTGACCAGACATCTTCTCCTCCCCCCGCCCCATGCCACCACCTGCAGAGGAGCTAGAAAACAGCCATCTTGCTGACCAAGAAGTGAGAGAGAGTCTCGGGGCCAGGGGCCACCGAAGGCCAGAGAGGCTGCTCAGCCTGGTAGAGCAGTGCTATCAGAGGCAGCTACCACCCTCCCATGCCTGCCTGGCTGAGCACCTAGAATTCAACTGTCCCCCAGAGCCCATGCTGGGCCAGAGGCTCAGGCCCCTGAGGGGAGGTAGGGAGGAGGTGAACTGGGGAGAGGGCAGAAGGGGAAGCAAGGAGGAGGGTCAGGGACCCCTGTCACTCCCAATTCTTGAGAAGGGGCAACCCCCATTCCTAGGAGGAGCCCTACCCTGCATCAGTTCTGGGCAGTGGCTGGTCCCTATGGGCCTAGGCCACATCCCCTGAGAATAGCAGCTCTTCCTTCAGGCCGAGGTCTGAGACATCTTTGCAAATACCCACAAGTCCCTCCCACACAACAACCCCTTCAGACAGCTGGGGTTAGGCTACGGGCAGTGTAGACAGAGGGCCTTCCCCACCACCAGCCCCACTGGCCTTCACGTTTTCCTCTTTGAAGCCCCTTGTGGCCTCTGGGAGTCAGAACCAATAATGTGAGGGTCCTCCATCTGTTTAGAGGTCTCCAGGGGCCCGGCACCCACTGGGTAGAGGCCACGTACCTCTGCCTGCTGATACCCACCCCTGGCCTCAGTTCCTGAGCACCCTGAACGTGTGCACGGTTTCTGCTTATGTGGGTCCCCTTCTTGAAACATCTCCTCTTCTTTCTTTCTTCACTTACTCAGTTTCTAGGTTGGCCTTCCAGGCTGCCTTCAGACACCACCTCCCGGGAAGCAATTCTCCATCTTTGTCCCCTCCCTCATCCCCACTCCTGTGGGTTCTGCAGCCTCTCCTCTAGGCCCCCAGAGCCTCTGTGATTCCCAGGGTCACACATTTACCCCAGTGGTAATTCAGTTCTCTCCTAAGTGTCTCTCTCCCAACTGGAGAGTGGCTCCTGGAGGGAGGGGTCATCTAGTTCATCTCTGAAGCCTGGTTCACAGTAAGTGCTCAATTAACAGCTGCCTCCTCGCTGTCTATCTACCAGGACCCCAGCGGATGCAAATCTTGCTTGTGTAACAAGGGTCTCTTGACTCTTAACTGAGAAGACCCTCCTGCCATCTAGCTTCCCTTCTTTCCAGCTGCTGGGGCAGCCCAGACCCTCTCATATCCACCCTGGACGTGCAGGGAACCCAAGTGTTAGCTGGCCCCTGCCCAGCCTGCTCGCAGGTCCAGCCTTCTGACCTACAAGTGTTGTGGGATGCAGACGCGGGTGAGGAGGCTGAGGCTTGGGAATGGGGTAAGGAACTCAACTGTTGAGGCTCAGTCCTCCCCGGCCAGGTTAATCATCAATGCCTAGAGAGCCGGCTGTTCTTTATCTCCGTTCCCTATCGCCTTTTCAGTTGGGCAAAAGATTGAGTAATCCCTCTCCTCTCTCTTGTATTAACCCTGGAGGGGCTCGGCCAGGGAAGTCTGAGCCTATAAGGCCGCTTATTCTTTGGGAAACACTCTCTAACAGCATGTTTGAGGGGGCGGGTGCCCTCCCTTCTTCCTCCCCCCCACCGCCCCCTGCGGTCGCGCAGCTGCGCCCCAGCAGTTAGAACATAGGGCGCCTCTCTAGGGTCATTTCCAAGCACCTGTCCCAACCGGAACGGCGCCAGGGTCACCTGGCCCAAAGGAAAGAGGACTTGGGGGTACAAACGCCCCATCGCCTTCCACTCCTTGCCCCACCTCAGGCCTGGGACGCCGCCCACCCTTCCCCGCCTCCCGGGCTGGAGCCAGGAACTGCGGGCAGGTAAGCCTCCTTGTGGGCGGGGCCTGGCTCCAGTGGGCGGGGCCTGGCTCGAGTGAAACCTACCCGGCCCGCCCGGTGAGTGTCTCCCAGGGCCGCGCGCCAGGAGCCCTAGCCGGAGCCGGAGACTCGCAGCTTCTATCCCATGGCCGGGTCTCCCCGCCGCACCGCGGGCCGGCGACTGCAGCTGCCCCTGCTGTGCCTCCTCCTCCAGGGCGCCACCGCCATCCTCTTTGCGGTCTTTGTCCGCTACAACCATGAAACCGACGCTGCCCTCTGGCACTGGCACAACCACAGTAACGCGGACAATGAATTTTACTTTCGCTACCCAAGTGAGTGCGGGTGAGGGCACGGGGAGAGCTAAGGCCCTAAGCTCCCCCGATGACTTGGGAGGGAGCACTTGGATGCCCAGATCTAAGGTGCCCCAGATTTATTATAATAACACCCTTTCACTAGCGTCTGCCACGTTCCAGGTATTATGCTGAGGGCGGCACATGCATTTTTTCTCCTTTAGTCTATGAAGTAGGCAAAGATGGGGAAACTGAGGCTCAGAGAGGTTAGGTGGCTGGTTCAGGGTCTTGCTGTCAGAATTGAGGGAGCTGGGATTTGAACCCAGATCTGAAGCCCCAGCTTTACCTACTCTCTTCTTGGCCTAGTTGGGCTTTGCTGGGCTGTTCAGAGACTTTACCTTTCCTGGGGCCTCCATCCTGACCACAGGGAAAAAATCATCTGGGCAGGGGAGGTAGGGAGTGGGGCACAGGAGGCAGTGATGGTATTAGCTGTGAAGGCAGCCAAGACTAGTGGACTGAGACATTTCTTTCCCAGTCCCCCAAAGCTGGTCCTTCCAGAGCCAGAGAGAAAATGATGTAACTATCCACCAGCCAATCACAGAGTAGCAGCCCCCCAGCCCTGCGAAGGAGACAAGGCAGGGTCATTAGCCCATTTCACCCAGGAGGAAGCTGAGGCTCAAAGGGGTTGTGATTTGTTCATGATCACCTACCATGTGAGTGACAGAGCTGGAACTAGGACTCAGCCATCCTCAGGTCCTAGCACCACAGCTCACCTGCCTGCTGACAAGGCCCAGGAAGGAGAAGGTTAAGCCCCTGCCCCCTGTTGTGGACAGAGCCTCTCCCTCAAGATTGGGGACCCAACCTTGTGACTCAGGCCCTGGGCAGCTGGGACCAGATCTCCCAGACTTCATCACAAATGTTTGACCAGGTCTCTAAGCCTCAGTTTTCCCCATCTGAGCAATGGGGAGAAAGATGCCTCCATTTGAAGGGTATCCATTCAAATGAGGCCCAGAATGTGAGAATCTCCTATAAAAATCCCAGGCTGTTATTACCCTACTTTCTGTATGCAGAGCTGGTGGCAGTGTGTCCCCACCTGACCCTCTCCCAGCCCCAACCCCAAGAAAATGAAGCTCACAATGCTGAGGATAGAGAGGGTGAGGTGGAGGCTTGGACCTGGGCATAAAGTGCCAGAATACCGGCCATCCTAGGCCGAGGGAGGGCTGCAGCTCCTCCCGCCCCACATTTCACCCCAATTCTGGCTGCATGAGGTGAGCCATGGATGCTGGAATCAAAGCCAGAGCCACAGAGCTGGGATGGCAGACTCTTGGGGTCATACATTTGTCCACAGAGATGGGGAGTTGGGCAGGGACAGTCCACAGGCTGCGAGAGGTAAGCTCTTGTCCTAGGGTCTGACCTGGCTGCCTGCCATGGACCCCCATTTGCTTCTTCCATGGGCCTCAAGGCCTCCAAGCCCTGCTTGCTTCACAGTCCTCCCTGAAACCCCCAACCTCTCATCCCTCTGCTGCAATGGTAGGCTCTCCTGGATGCACAGTTTTTTGTCCCTGGATTGCAATAAGAGGAATAGCAGTGGGAATCCTACCTCTTTTACTGCACTAGGTTTCTATCCCTGTGGACTTGGGACCCTGGTGCAGGGATGGGTTGGGGAGGAGGGAGGTGTGAGGTCCGTGGAGCGTGGGGCTTTGATGAGCCAAGTCTTCACCTATCCCTGTGTCCTGGAGAAGTGGTCAGGGCCAGAGGGTGGTGTAGCCACTGCCCTTTGATTTGGGAGATGAAAGAGAGTTTTGCCGCTGTTGTTTAGCTGTGGGACTAGCCAATGCCAAATGCGTGGCTGCTCTGAGTATCTGTCTGTTACCTCTATAGGAAGGGCCTTTAGAGCTCATCTGATCCACTCTTCTCAGATGTGGAGAGAGAGCCAGAGAGGTCATGTGACTGCCCAAGATCACACAGCAAGTTAGCCAGCCTAGAACCGGGTCTCTTGACTCCCCATCTGCAGACTTTCCCCCACATTACAAACTTCTTATCCTATGAGGCAAGTAATGGAAAATAAGAAAGGGGGAAAACGAATACAACATGTAAAGCAACTATACTCCAATAAAAAAAAAAAGAGAGAGAGAGAAAGAAAGAAGGGGAGAAACTAGGGGAAAAGACTAGGCATACAGGGGACACAGAAGCAAAGATGAGAAAGGGTTCTAAGAAAAAATATGGACAGGTTCTTTTTTATATATCTCTGAGACCTGACTTGCAGGGAGAGGGATTTAGGACAAATGGAATCAGGATTTTCTTGCGGTGGGGGCAGGGGGAAGTGACTGGGACCAGAGTGGTTTGTGACTTTTCTAGGAGAATACAGCCCTATCTGACCTCTTAAAGGCACGTGGGGGTAGAGTGGTGGGGGGAGATGGCCTCCCCAGCTTACCACTCCCTTTTTCCTGCTTCTCACATTTTATATCCCCACTTTACAGATGAGGAAACTGAGGCTTAGAGAGGTTAAGTGGCTTGTCCAAGGTCACACGATGAGAAGTGGAGGGGGGAGGTGCTGGAATTCAAATCCAGCTCTGTTAGATGCTAAAGCCCCAGCTTTAACTGTCCCTTTGTCCCACAGTCTGACCTTGTTCAGGAGTCATCTGGTGCGGTTGGGGAGGGGCAATAAGGGGAGGAGGGAGGGTGATAGGTGGCCCTAGAGGGCTTTTATCTTCTCTCCAACCAAAGGTGCATGGGTTTGGTGGGGGTGGGGATGTGATGGAAAACAGGCTCCATCCTGCCCAACCCAGGGATCCCCTGAAGGGAATGTTGAGGGGTCATCTCATCTATTCCCCTGCCTCCAGCTGGAATAGCCCCTTACCCACCACAGTCCATGGAGAATGTCTGTGTGGAATGTTCCACAGAGTGGAATGAGTAAAGGAGATTTCCTGATGTTTAGACTCCAGATGAAAGGCCAAGGGATTGAGTTTTGATTCCAAACAAACCCGGGGTAGGAGATGTAAATATTATTGACATTTAAGACAAGTTCTAGAGCGGGTTTTGGCATGAAATGGGCATGACCCAGCCCCTTTTGTTTTGTTATCCTTGGGCAAAAGAACAGACATGGCACCCCCTTTACTGTTTGCACAAGGAGAAAACAAGTCAGGCCGTGAGGCTAAAAGAACTAAGGCTTCGGGCTGAGTTCTAAAAGATACCTCTCCTTTTCTGTTGGGTTTTGAGATCTGAGAGGGAAGAGAGATCTGGGTGATTTGGGGAGTGAGTTGGGCTGGAAAAGTGGCACAGTGGTGGAGACATTTAGTGAGGCCAGCGGACCTCCAGACCCTCACCCATTTGGCCACTGGGGCTGGCAGCTGAGCTGTAGACCTCCAGTTCCAACATGCACCCAACCTTCTGCCAAGGGCTTGCAAACTCATTTCCTATCAGCCCGTACACAGCACACACACACACACACACACACACACACACACACATACAAAAGCAGAAAAATTTGCTTCTCTCAAAGTTGTTGATTACATTCTAAAGTTCAGTAATAAATTTTTGGCTTGTTGGTGCTTCACCTTTCAACAAAAAAGGTGATTGTGATTTTCTTTCTTTGTGATCTGCCTCTTTCTACAAGAGACGCGGTCATTTACAACAAAAACGTGAATAAGAAAAGTATAGAAGCAGTACACAAATAATAAACACTGTGAAGGCCTACAGTTGTTATAGTTGAAATTCCTGTAGCTCTGAGCTTCCAGGCAGCTAGGAAAAAGGGGTAATATGGTCAGTTATGCATTCTCATCAGAATCAAGGAAGCCTCACCTACGTGATTCTTTGATCCCTTGATGGCTGTCCTCCACCGACAGCTCTACATTCCCAGAGCCTGGTGCATGACAGCTTAGTAAACATCTATCACATGAATGAGGGAAAGCAAACCAGCTCCTGGTTCCTCAGGGGTAATGACATTTCCTAGTACTAAGTTCCAGGAGAAACTTCTCACATGGAGCTATGAAAGGAGAGTTTATGGTCATGGTTGACCCTGTTTCTCAGTAAGTTATTTACAACAAATGCAATAATGCACTCAAGTGTTTCTCTAGTATTTCTCAATTAAAGCCAGAGATAGCACAGCATTATGGATACATAGACCCAAGACAAAGGAAACAGGACTAGATGCACTGGCTGAACATCATAGCAGGTTGTGTTTCAAACCCTATTTACAAGTAGATGGGGGGAGGGGTACAGAACAAACTAATACAAAAGCAAATTGTTGTATTTATCTCATTTTCACTATTACTATTTCTTATTTTAGATTTTTTTTACACAGAATAGAAAGCAAACAGAAAAGACCCCAAATCTCCCTGCCCAGAAACCCCACTGACACTTTAAAAAATTCAAGTGATTCATCTATAAAATTAAAACATTCAAAGTATAGAAAGAAACAAACTATAGGGTAAAATCCTCCTTCCCGGAGTGGCCATATTGCATACCTCCAGGGGGCATTATTTGCTCCAGAGTTGTACAGCTCAGCATCCCTGCCCCCTCCCTTCAATTTCTTTTCTCTGAGATAATCTCTGTTAACAATTTAAAGTTATTTTTGTAAATTAATTTATAAAATTTAAAATCCTGAAAATGGAGAGGTACAGATTCTGAAGTATGAGGAATGGAGGGTAGACATCAAGAAGGACTTCCGACAGAAAGGGAAAATTTAAGAAAACCCGGAAGGGGAAGAGAATTTCCAGCACAGAGGGCAGGGACTGTGCCAGGAAAGAACACAGGAAAGGTTGGAATTTTCACTGGTTGTAAGCAACCCAGGGATAGGGCAAATGAGTGGGGCAGAGAAGAGAGCGGAGGGCTCTACTCTCTTGCTCTGACCTGGCGACAGCAGGGATGGTCTGGGTCCCACTGCTCTAAGCTGTCCAGCTTTGCATGGGGGATCTGGGCTGGGAGGCCAGCCATGCCCAGGGAGTTTTATAAGCTCGGCTCCAGCCTCAGGGCGGCCCTGGCTGGTGAGAGCTGGGGGCACTGGCAGGATGGCTGATTGGTGGATGGGTGGCAGCCTGAGCAGCCCTGAATGCCCCCTCCACCCTGCAGGCTTCCAGGATGTGCACACCATGATCTTCGTGGGCTTCGGCTTCCTCATGGTCTTCCTGCAGCGCTACGGCTTCAGCAGCGTGGGCTTCACCTTCCTCTCGGCCGCCTTTGCCCTGCAGTGGTCCACACTCGTCCAGGGGTTCTTCCACTCCTTCCACCATGGCCACATCCATGTAGGCGTAGAGAGGTGGGCAGTGGCGGTCACCCTGGCTCCCCTCAGGTCTACCTGGGAGGCCCCTGTCCAAGGGACCCAGCTCAAACCCAGTCCCTCAAGTCTGCTCCCTGACCGAGGTTTTTGACCCATCCGTTGATTTCTTTTAGGTGCCCTGCCTATTCTGTTGCCTGATTTCTTCTCCCATCCTCGAGCCCCACCTCCCCATTTCTTTAGGCCCCTTATTACCCAAGAGATGTTGGGAGGATAGATAGTGTCATGGAAAAGGGCAGGGTTCAGAGGAGCTCTTGATTCAAGATCTGGTTCTTCCACCTGTTGTGGGCTTTGTTTGCTAAGGCCCAGAACCTCCCTGAGACTCTGTTTCCGCATCCACAAAAAAGGTGAGGTGATACCTTCCTGCCTACCGGGGAAGAGCTTAGGTGGGTAGGCTCATTGCCTCCTCCCCTCCCCCCACCCCCCAGGGCTGCCCTCGCTTCCAGCCCCCTCTCACCCTCCCCATCCCAACCCCCCAGCATGATCGATGCTGACTTCTGCACTGGGGCTGTGCTTATCTCCTTTGGTGCCATACTGGGCAAGACTGGGCCGGCTCAGCTTCTGCTCATGGCCCTGCTGGAGGTGGTGCTGTTTGGCCTCAACGAGTTTGTGCTCCTTAGGCTCCTCAGGGTGAGTCTGGATGGGGATGGGGTGAGGAGTGGGAGTGGCCAGGGCCAGGCCCTGAGCAGGGAGGGCGTGGGGTAGGGGCGAGGGGCTGCCCCTCCACCTCAGCTCCACCTCCCCAGGTGAAGGATGCAGGAGGCTCCATGACTATTCACGCTTTTGGTGCCTACTTCGGGCTGGTCCTCTCCAGGGTCCTCTATAGGCCCCAGCTGGAGAAGAGCAAGCATCGCCAGGGCTCCGTCTACCATTCGGACCTCTTTGCCATGATTGGTGAGGCCTGCTGAGGTGTGGTGGGTACGGGGCCGGTTCATCTCCAGGCCTGGTCTTGGGGTGCCACCTAGAATCCTTGGGGCTCTGGCTGGGAACTCCCTTCCAACTCAGATTCTTCCACCAGAGCCCCGGCACTTCCACCAGAACTCAGCACTGGGGTATGCACATGCCCTGAGATCCATCCTAGGGGCCTTTCTCAATCGAAGTCTGAGGGCACCAATCTCTGCTGAAGACCTCCAGGGTCCCCACTACCGACAGTTAGATACCAGGCTCCTCAGCCTGGCGCACCCACCCCTGCAGGATCTTGGCTACTCCTCCCCGCCTTGCCCCCTCCCCACTCACTCTCCCCGCGCTCTCTCTCCAGCCAGATTCAGCTTCTCCCCATCTCTAACCTCCGGGCTTTTGTCCCTGGGGCTGCGTCCCCCCTCCTGAGGTCACGTCCTCTCAGGGGATTTCCTGGAAGCCCCTGCACTCTCAAGGGGGAGAAGGAGAGGTCGTAGGTCACGCCAGCGAGCAGTAGGGTCTGACCTGCAAGCCCCATCATCACCACCTGTTTCTCCTAAGCGCATACCTCCGCGTAGGCTTCTGCTCCTCTCTCTTTGTTCACTAATGAGTCAGGAAAGGAAATCCATATTTTATGTTGTTTTTTTTTTTTGCGGTACGCGGGCCTCTCCCGTTGCGGAGCACAGGCTCCGGACGCACAGGCTCAGCGGCCATGGCTCAGGGGCCCAGCCGCTCCGCGGCATGTGGGATCTTCCCAGACCGGGGCACGAACCCGTGTCCCCTGCATTGGCAGGCGGACTCTCAACCACTGCGCCACCAGGGAAGCCTTATTTTATGTTTTTGAGGGTAGTATTGAGTAGTGACCGAAGTGCCCGTTCTTACATTAAAAAGAGACTGGTTTTGTATTTCTTGCTCACCTCTGGACTTGTTGTGAAATAGAGCATGTGGAATCCTAGGTCAGCTGAGGCCTCCTTGCCCTTTGAGACCCAGATAAGTTTAGCTTGAAGTCCAAAGGCTTCCCCAAGATGTCTGTGCTTTCCTGCGAGGCTTACATTCTCAGATCTCCTCTGCCTCCCAGCTTCTTCCAGACAGGAAAACTGGCCTCTTCCTTGATTCCTCCCAAAACGCTTCTCAGAAGACGCATGTGTACGTGTGGTAGATTTTAATCAGACTGTGGAGGTGCAGAAGTTACATCGCAACCCAAGGACCACTCAGGACTAAGGGGCAGTCTCTCAAGCCTCTTTGCTCTGCTGACCCTACCCTACCGGGTCCCCAGCTCCCCTTCACCTGCCCTTGGCCCCTCCCCCTCTCCCTCCAGGACTGACCTGGGACCCGCAGGCAGGGCATATGGAGCTCCCAGTCCTTACCCCAGATGCGCAGGCCCAGCCCATTGGTGCTCATGGCAGGGCCCACCCTCTCCAGGGGTCAGTTGAGGTTATAAAACAAGTGATTTTCCTCTTATGTATATCAAGTACCAGATTAGTGCCTGACATGTGGTGCCCTTTGCCTTTTTTTTCTTTCCTTTTCTGATACTTAAAAAATCTCAACCCCCTGTGGTTTTCAATCAAGTAGCTCCCTTTTGTGCCAGTACCCTGCGATAGCTACCATTTGTTGAACATTTAGTACTGGCTAGGCCATGCGCTATGCACTTGGTATGTATCACCTCATTTAGTCCTCACTTTATAAAGTAGGTATCACTATCCCCACTTTACAGATGAGAAAACTGAGGCTGCTGAGAGTAGGTGACTTGAGTGCAGTTACACAGCTTGTACCTTGTGGGGGAGTCACCTCCTTCCTCTCATTCTGCCTGCCTGCCCACCATTTAGGGACCATCTTCCTATGGATCTTCTGGCCTAGTTTCAACTCTGCACCCACTACGCTGGGGAATGGGCAGCATCGGTCGGCTCTCAACACGTACTACTCCTTGACTGCCAGCACCCTCAGCACCTTCGCCTTGTCAGCCCTTGTCGGGAGGGATGGGCGGCTGGACATGGTATGGGGGAGAGGCTTGGGAGAGGCAGAGGGATGGACCGGGAGGCGGGGGAGAGATCGGAGACCCTGCAAGGAGGATTCTCCAGGGGAACAGGTAACGGCACAGGCACAGGGGGCTCCATCTGCACTGGAGGCGTTGGGTCAGAGCATGAGGTGATGACAGGATAGCAGGAGAGTTAGAGGGTTAGATGGTGGGGGGACTTCAGAAGCAGTAGGTGCTACTGTGGTGGGCAGAGTTGGGTTGGGTGTGGGTGTGACGATCTGAAAGGGCGTCCAACGCCTTGTTCTTCTGTGCTCGCTTAGGTCCACATCCAGAATGCCGCACTGGCCGGAGGGGTTGTGGTGGGGACATCGGCTGAAATGATGCTGACACCCTTTGGGGCTCTGGTAGCTGGCTTCCTGGCTGGGACCGTCTCCACACTGGGGTACAAGTTCTTCACGGTACAGATGCCTCTTGGGCCCTGGGCAAAACAGGGGGTCTTCGGAGGGCACACGAGACTCATTATTGTCCTGTTCTCCAGCCCACCCTTGAGTCAAAACTCAAAGTCCAAGACACGTGCGGTGTCCACAACCTCCACGGGATGCCTGGGGTCCTGGGAGCGCTCTTGGGGGTCCTTGTGGCTGGACTGGCCACCCATGAAGCTTACGGAGATGGGTGAGTTCTCCCCACCCTCATCCCCCATCCCCAGTGGAATCGTTATCCCCCTTGAACTAAGTCCCTCACTCTCTTCCTCCTGTTGTGGGCCAACAAGAAAAAGCTGTCTATTTTCTTTCATTCATTCATTCATTCCTCTACCTCCTGGGAGCTGAAGAAACTGGGGTGAACAAGACTGGGGACTGCCTTCTTGGTCCTCACTCAAGCGCAGCAGAAGGTCATTGAACAAATGATTTCAATAGTGTTATTACTAAAGGGTCAGGTAAGAGATACTGACCCTTAGGATAGATTTTTGCACATCAGGGCTCAGAAAAGAGGGCAGGCAAAAGTGACCCTCAAAGTGAGCCTTGAAAGGTGTGAGGGTGTTGCTGGCACACGGGAGGTGGGAGGGTGTTCCAGGCTATGGGCCTGACTGGAGCAAAGGCCCAGAGGTGACTCAGCCTGGCAGCTCCCTTGAGGCCCTTTTGGCCGGTGCAGGAAGCGGTGCAGTGCACTGATGCACTGACCAGCCCTGGCTCCATGCTCCATCCCTGTCTCCCCCCACTCTCCCCTCCCTGCAGCCTAGAGAGCGTGTTTCCACTCCTAGCCAAGGGCCAGCGCAGCGCGACGTCTCAGGCCATGCACCAGCTCTTCGGACTGTTTGTCACACTGATATTTGCCTCTGTGGGTGGGAGCCTTGGAGGTGAGTGACCTTGGCCTGGTGGGGGAGGGGGGGATGGGCGTTGTGAGGAGCTCCAGGGAGGGCAGAAGACAGAGGAGGGGGTTTCTCTGGAGGAAGGGCCATTTCATCCCATCCCCCTGCCATTCATTTACTCACAGGTATCTGTTGAGCGCCTACTTTGTGCCAGGTGCAGGGTGGGGTTGTACATTTAAGGGGTAACTTCCTCCAGATAAGTAGGACAAAGTGGGTACTTGCTCCCTTCCGATGCCAAGGGAAGGTGGGAAGCCTGCTAGGGGCTGACAGATCCCTCTCCTCTGTGGCTACCCTGTGCTGCTCCCTCTGCCCACTAGAGGGCAGCCCAACCTCAGGCTGAGGCCCTGAAGCGTGTAGGGCTAGGGGCAGGGAGGGAAGAGCCCTGCCTGTCTCGTCACTAGACTGGAGCACAAAAACCTTCCACAGAGGCAGCCTGCCCACTGACGCCAGGTCAGGCAGTCCTTCCTGATATCTGGCCTTAGTCCTTTTGGCCTTCAGAATAAAACGTCTGATTGAGTATCCCCACCCTCCTGCTCCCACCCTGAGATTTTCATTCTCAAACAAGGTTCAGCTCATTCATTCATTTAATTACTTACTTACTCAATAAACACTTTCTGCACCCCTCCTGGATAGGCGGCCACAGAAGGCTTATGAGCTGTGGTTCATGACAGACTCACTATTTGGTCCGTTCCCAGCTGTGCCAACTTGAATAAGTTATTTAACTTCTTTAAGCCTTGGCCCCCTTCTCTGTAACAGAGGGATCATATTCACCTTGCAGGGTTGCTGTGGTTGCTTAAGGAGGGCAATGCTTGTCAAGCACTTTGCATAGGGCCTAGCAAAAGTTGGTGCTCGATAAATACCACTGTGATATGCCTGTGCTGGGCATCACGTTGACCTCATGCCTCCTGGCTCCTCTGTGCCTGGTGGTATTGAGTGGCAGTCTCCCCCATGGGGTTGGCAAAAAGCCTCACACATGATCCCCTACTGCCACCAGGGCTCCTGCTGAGGCTGCCCTTCTTGGACTCCCCGCCAGACTCCCAGTGCTACGAGGACCAGGTTTACTGGGAGGTGAGATGTGGTTGCAGCCCCTCAGGCCCATGGGGCTCTCTCACCCTCCAACCTTCCCTTCCCTGCCACACCTCCTCTGATCCAACCTGCCTCTTTCCTTCCTCGCTTGCTCCTTCTCCTCTGGGGTCCCTCCCTGAGCTGTGGTCTCCAGCCCCCTGGAGCTGCCCCTTCACCTGCTCCTCCATCCTTGCCCTCCAGGTGCCTGGGGAGCATGAGGATTTAGCCCAGGGACCTCTGAGGGCAGAGGAACTGGAGACTCGGGCCTAACTTGCTTCCAGGCCTTGAAAGGACGCTCTCCTTTTAGAATATGATGGCTGGCTACCGTTGGGAAGCTTTTCTTTTCTAGTTCCCATCACTTCTGCTGCAAGAAAGAAGACAGGAGCCGGAAGGAGCCTCCTTACCATAGGCAGCATTGGGGGAGGGGCTGTAACTAGTGTGGTGAGGGGAGAGCCTCACACAGCCCCACCCCACCGCCCCACGCCCTGCAAGTGAGGCCCCCAAGTGACTGCTGATCCACTGGACCAGCATCACTCCGTTACAGTGAAGCCTGAGCCAGGGCCTGGCTCTCTGAGGGTGATAAATACCACAGTCACCGAGGACTCTCACTCCTTTTTTTGTGCACTTGGAATTTGGGGGGCTCCTCCTACCATCTAACTCACAATTTTGGAACCTCGGGCGAGAAAGGACCTTAGTGGTGACAATATCCTGCCTCCCTGGGTCCATGGAACTCGCCCTAGGATGCCGTGTTCTGATAGGTGGATGCCCAGACTGGGCTTACCTGCCTCCAGAGACAGGAAGCTCATTCTCCTCTAGCAAGTGTGTGTTTGTTATAGGACAGACAGCTCAGGCTCCTGGAGAGCTCTTCCTATTCCAGAATGGCTGCCACTCTGACCCTCAACTTGGGTGGCCTCTGAACAGAGTAGGAAGAGGGCCCCTGCTGGGACTAAGAGGGGCATAAGGAGTTCTTTGCTACTAACTCCTCAGAAGCTGGAAGCAGCCAGCCCCCAGGCACCAACTTACGTCCCTGTCCCGAGCCTGAGGAGTGGGGACTAGGAAGGGCAAATGAGCTGCTGCAGAGAATGGGGCTTCCGTCAGCCTGAAGCCATCTGACCACCAGAGGGCGCTCCAGACCCAGCAGAGGAAGATGCGGCCTTTCTTGCCCCTCCATCCTCTACCAAGAATGGGAAGTCCTTCCTACAGCCTAACGGCATCCCTGTCTGCTTCAGCTCTGGTCCTCACTATTCATGCCACAAGACTTTTCTGAGCTCCCAGTCCCTATCACATGTCATTCCAGATCTCTCATTCAACAGAGAATCCATCCTCCCAGTAGACCAGAGCTCCTTTCCCAACCCCGAAGTACTGGGACCCCCCTCTGCCCTCTCCTGCTCTTCCCTTCTGGCAGGAGTGAGCATGCCTAGAGACCTCTTCCTCAAAACCAAAACCCATGCACACGTAGGAACCCAAGGAGGGATTGCTGAGGCCTAGTTCTGGGACAGGGGCAAAAGGTGCCGCCACGAGGCTCCATCCTCACTGTAGCTGAAGGGACTGAGTCTGGCTGGGGAAAGAGGTCAAGCACAGAGTTGAAGAAAAGCTGAGGAACAAGGAGAGAGAAGTGCCCCATGGGGACCACCCCTGCCCATGTGGCCCAAATATATTTGGTATATCCCTCCCCTTGAGCTCCCCTCCTTCCTCCACAGCCTCCCCTGACCATTGCTGGCTGGGGTAGGTATGTTGGAGGGAGATCCCTGTGCTGAGGCAGGATGACTGCTGAGATTGCAAAAAGGTACCCTGTCCTGTCAGCCCCTGCTGGGAGGGAGTCTGGGCAAGCAGAGGCGCATCCCCCGTTTCACCCTGCAGAGCCATCCCTCTGCCTCTGCATGGATCCAGGTACAGCCAGCTGACCTGTTCTGCCCCTGAGCTCCCTGAGCAGTCCTCAAACAGAGATCTGAAAGACTTATAGGAAGGAGAGACTTAAGGATAAGACCCTCCCTGCCCTTGCTTATCCTGGGTGGGAAAGGTTACGAGTATTCATTTACTACGCATACCACCAACATTTTCCCACTTGATCCTTTCCTTCTACTCTGGTTCTTTCTTGACCACAACCAAATCTCCTCCAGGCTTGACAGAAAGGGGCTGCTCTAGCCTAGGCTGGTCATTGCTACCATCTCAATCCAGGGAGGCTTCCTGGAGAAGGGACAACTGAACCCTCCCTGGGAGAGGGCAGTTACCCAGCCAGCTTCTAAGGGAGGAAAGGCTACAGTTCCTAGGGTGGCCCACCAAGAGATCCCTGAGAAAGGGTGATGGCTGCCCGACAAGAGATGGCCCTGAATATCCCCTAACCAGATAGTTCAGGCTCCATCACCCCCATAAAGCCTCTCATGGCCTGGGAGACGCTGCTGAGCTCTACTACAAGATACAGCACCCTGGCTTCATGGCTCAGGGGACTCCGTCCTGGACTGAACTCTCCTAAACCAGGCCCTTGGTTTTTCCCTCTGCATTTCCTCCTCTCCCTCCCCCAGCTTTTCCTGTAGTGCCTAGCACCCTGGTGGGCAGTCCATAGATTGTTCGGTCCAAATGATGGACTGAGCCATCATTACTGGTTTGGGTCTGGGGGTGATCGTCCCATTACTGCTTTCAGGCAGGGAGCTCAGAGGGCAGGGAAGGCAGGTATCCTTGGAGCCTCTCTGCTTCACCAAGACTAAGCCCCTCCCCCATCTTTCCTGTAGCCCCTGGCTCAGCACCATTGGTTCCCCACACGGTGGCCCATCCATTCAGGCTGGGTTGACAGGGTGACAATGAACAGGTCAAGGAGATGGCGGGGACAGGGGCAAAGGGAGCTCCTTCCTCACCCCTTCAGGACAATGAGGCCTCTGCCCCTCAGGGACAGCCCCTCTGATCACTGCCATTATCACTCTCAATGCAGGACAATCAGACACTTGCCCACTCATGAACTCCGTCTGTCCAGCCCCAGTGCCTGAGCTCGGGGGACAATGATGGACGAGGACACTTGGCCCCTGCTCGCCTCCCAGGGCCCCACTGATGGGGAAGGTTGGCTGCGCTGGGGTCAGTGTCAAGCCAGCAGAGCCAGAGGCATTAGGAAAGGGTTTCTGGAGGTGGAGCTGTACGGGCTTGGCACAAGTATGTGTGGGCGACAACAGAGCTTCCTGCCCAGACATCTGGCTGGGAGGTCCAAGGTTCCCCACGCGCCTCAGGGTGCTTCTGTGCCTGTGTGGCCAGAGCCCCCTGGGCCGGGCCAGGAGCTAGGAGCTGCTCCTCTGACCTCTGGAGGACCTGGCGCCCTGAACCTGCATAGCCTGGGGAAGGCCTGAGATGCCCCGTTATTGGGATTCAAATCACGGCGCATGGTGGCCCCAGCTCAGGGAGGAATTAGACACGGCGTGGGTGTCCGAAGTGGGGGTCGGTGGCGGTCCCGGGACAGACTAACTCGGCAGCCGCGTCCCCCGCCCCACCTCACCCCAATATTTCTCTCCCACCGTCACGATCTCCCCCGCCCGGCTCTGCGCGCCCCGTCTCCTTTGTCTGGTCCTCCCGCCCGCGCCCAGCCGGGTCCTCCGCGCCGCCCCGCGCGCCCCGGCCCGTGCGCCCGCCGGCGCAGCCGCCGCCGCCCGGGAACAATGCGGGCCAATGTCTCCGGGCGGGCGAGCGGGCTATGCAAATGTCCAACGGCCTGTGAGAATCCCCCTCTGCCGCCGCCCCGGCTTCCACCGCCTGAAAGGGGCTGGCGGCCAGGCCCGGGTGGGGGAGGCCGTCCCTGCATAGGGATGAGCTGTCTTCCCGGAGCGCCCGCCCCGGACAGAGCGCTATTGTCTCCGTGCCGCCGTCTGATCGCCGATCGGAGTTCGCCAGCCCGGGGAGGAAGGAAGAAGGCGACCCAAACCACGCCTTGGGGCCAGGCAGGGGTGGTCACCTGTTTCCTCCATACCTACTCCTCTCCCCAAAGAGCCTTGACTTTGGGGTCAGACCTTGGTGGGCCCCCAACTTGGCACCCCACTCACACAAATCAGTTCATTTCTGAGCCTCGTCTCTTGGAGGTTAAACCTAGCCTATAGGTGATGCTCTTCCCATCCTCCCTACCTGTTAACTGCCCTCTCCATCGCCATCCATTTTTTCACATTACATTGACCAGAGGTGTCTCTGGAGCCAGTTCCCTTCCAGAACCTTGAGGGAAATACTCATAGTTTCCCCAAAGCAGGTTACTGGACAGAGATGCCCCCGAGGGATCCTCTGTGACTCATGAGCCCCAGGCCCAGTCCAGGCCTCCTTCCTGCTTCCTTCTGCTGCCACCACCAGTTAAGAAGGCCCACCGTTTACTGGGAGAAGCCCTAGCCATGCAGGACTGAAAGAAACTTCTCCAGTGATGTCGAGGTGCTGGGGAGTGGTTTGCCACAGAAAGTGCCCTCCCACAAGTGAAACGTGCATCCCTCTACCCCCAGCCCAGGAGCTTGTGCCCATCTAACAGATGATATTGGCCCAACACTGGATAGTAGGCAAGGGACCCTATGCTGGAAGCAGAGTCCGTTCTAGCTGGGAACTTGGCCTCTGCTCTTGGGTGCTTACAGGCTGAGCTCCAGTAACTGGGCTTTCGACTCTGCAAGGTGCAGGACCTGATTCCACCTTTTCTAAACTCCCACACAGGCTCATGATCAAGGGCTGATGCCACTCAGGTGGGAGCTATTTCAGAGCTGGTGCCTGGGCCCTTGAAACAGTGATGCTTCTGAGACTCGTGAGGTTTTCGGGGCAAAATCAATCGGGGCAACATCAAAATGAGAACTGTCCCAGGAAGTCCAGGTTTTCAGTTCCAGTAAGGCAGGAGAGGGTTGAATGGGGAGAGGAGGGAGAAGACGCTGGTAGGGCAGGCAGTCTTCCGGGAAGCAGGGCTTCTAGTGCTGCCTCAGAGGCCTGTTCATTTCTGGTTTGGCCCAGGCTCTCACTAAGACGGAGCACTTCCTTCTGTCCTCCTGGCCTCTGTGACGAGATCCAGGTACAACATGTGTGGCAACTCCATTCTGGGGAGGTGGAGGTGCAGTGCGGGCAGTGGAGCCTGGCCTCCTGGGATAGCATTTGGGAGACAGATAAGAGGAAAGTTGGGGTCAGGGGATGTGGGCTGGGAGCTGAGGCATTTTATGGTGCCAGGGAAGTAGCCAGAGTCCTGTCCACCCCCACTCCCCACCTTTGGAAGTGGGCCCTCCTCCAACTCCTCACTGGGTCTCTGCTCCAACCTGGAACCCTCCAAAACGTTCTGACCTGGGGCTGCCCAGCCTCATGGAAACTCCTCCGGGGACCCCAAAAGCCACATCTGAAAGAAGCCAAACCCAGGTCCCTGCACGTCTCCACACATGGCTAGAGGCTCCACCCACCTGAGCCCCAGAGCACATCCTTCCTCCCATGACCCTCCCTCTTCTCTTCCAGGACATTTGCAGGTGGTCCCCAGAAGAGGTTGGACCAGAGATACCTGCTCTGAAGGGGGCCCTCTCTCTCTTTGGCCTGGATTTCTGGAGCTCTCTGGGCCTGCTCTGGATGGTCTTTGGAAGGTCCCTGGGCAGGACCCAAGCAGACCCATCTTGGTTCTGAGGCTGAG